GCACGCTGTACTACTCCACCCGTCCAGCCGTCACGGCCTGAAACACCACCGGCAGGCCCGTCACGGTCTCTCTCGCCCCAACCAGGGCCCTCACGACCACGCTCTCCCTCTCCTCAACCTGGGCCATCCAAACGGCCCCGGGAAGAGGACGAGGAAACGGAGCATGTGCCCTCACCCACTATCGAGGTGCTTGAGTCGAAGGAGCGCGAATTAAAACGCTTCAAAGCCCCTTTCCGAGAAGAGGTGAGGGGTTAGGTGACTCGCTTCCTTCTGAGGTTCTCATGGAGTCACTTTTTGACACTGTGCTGCAGAGGCAGCGGGAGGCGGTGGGAGCTGCTGATGCAGACAGGGTGATTGTTGAAATCGCTAACGGGGACAATATTGATAACCCTTTGTGGTTCAATATTCGTCGAGTTGACCAGATCTCCGGGCGTGTTGTTTTAGATAAGCTCGAGAGAGTTCTTAACTCTAATCAGTCATTCATATTGAATGGACACCTCAAATTGAGCTATATACATATACCCCTTCCTGAAGCTGGCGGACGTCGTGTGAAGAGGGTTGCCAATGAAACTATGGAGCAATGGCTAGAAAGAAACATTGATGACAGCAAAATATTTTCACCAGAAAACACTGCAGACTCGATGTGACTCACCCGCTGTGTAGCCGTATTGAAGTCAAGGGGGACTGTGAGTAAGCATGCGTTCTACCGCTTAAAAGATCCTAAATCATCTGTGCAGCAAGAGTTGGCGGAGACTCTCTGCACTATGGCTCATATAGATCCTGCCACACCGTGTACCATTGACGATGTGCAGAGATTGCAGGAAGTGCTGCCTGGTTATCGGATATGCGTATACACAGATAAAAGGTGTAAAGAATGCGTCTTTAACGGACCGTACACTTTAGGAGTACAGAATATTCAATTAGTTCTGCATAATGCGCACTTCTATGCTATTTTATACCCATGCACGGTATTTGAATACGAGTTTGAGTGTACAAAATGTGTAGCATTCTATAGTAATAAATTGGACCATCGTTGCGATGGATCGTGTTGGCGATGCTACGGAGCGGACGCACACAATGACCCTGCCATACCGTTACTGAGATGTCCCCACTGTCATCATCAGTTCGCTGGTGAGGAGTGCATGCAAAATCATAAAACTGTGAAGTTGCCTCACTCTCAGTTTACAAAATGTGACATATTCAAATTTTGTACTCTCTGTGAGAAGAGTTACAGTACATTGAGAGGTCGTAAACACGTTTGCGGTTTCGTGTACTGTAGTAATTGCAAAGAAAGTGTTAAAGAAAACCATCTTTGTTACATGTCAAGATGGGGTGAGAAAGAGAAAAAGAAGGGGTAGAAATACATCACTCTCTTCTATGACGTAGAGACTACGCAACATACACCTGTTGCTGAAAAGGAAGGCACTTTTCAGCACATCCCTAACCTCCTTGTCTGTCAGGCGGTTTGTGACGCATGCGCCGATATTGCACAAAATGATTATTTTGGCACGGTTTGTCAAAGTAGGCAGCATGTCTTCCATAATTTGGATGACCCAGAGATTTCCGTCATGGGTCAATTTATAGATTATCTGCAGTCTTTTCCGCCTAAGCATGAGCTGCTACTAGTGGCACATAACGCAAAAGCGTTTGATGGAGTGCTAGTGCTTCAGGAACTATTGGCTAGGAAGTTGAAAGTAGAACCCGTTCTTCAGGGTGCCAAAATTCTCTCAGTGAAGGTTGGAAATTGGAAATTTATAGATTCCTTGATGTTTCTACCTATGCCTCTAAGCGCCATGCCTAAATCATTTGGATTGGACGAGTTGAAAAAGGGGTATTGGCCATTCTTGGCTAATAAGCCTGAATATTATCAATATGAAGGTCCTATGTTGGAAAGAGAACTCTACTGCGTGTCAAACATGAAGAGTAAGGCTGCCTCTGATTTCAATGCGTGGTACGAAAAACAGGTATCGGAGAATTATGTGTTTAATTTCCGCCGTGAGTTGATTGAATATTGCATTTCTGATGTGACAATCTTACGTCAGTCCTGTCAGGCATTTCGAAAGCTATTTAAGGAGGTTGCCGGATTTGATTGTATGTTCAACTAGACAGTCTGACTCTCAGTGCAGCTTGCATGGCGGCGTTTCGCCGTAATTTCCTCGAAAAGGACACCATCGGTATTGTCCCCCCCGGAGGATACCATGGTCGTGGCAAGCAGTCTGATATGGCTCTGAAGTGGCTTGATCACGAAGCACACAAATTAGGGCGAAAGATCAAGACGATACATACGGATCGTGAGGTTATGGTTCTGGGACGTCCTGTGGATGGCTATGTAGAACTCCCGCTACCCAACGGCACCATGGAACGGCGAATTTACCAGTTTCATGGTTGCTATTGTCACCAGTGCCCGACTCACTACCCTGTCTCAGACGACTCCCCTGAAAATCGGTATGAAAGAACACAACAAATCACAACCCTATTTCGCCGGTCAGGTTATAATGTGACTCGCTTTGCTCGCTGGGGGGCTCCGCCCCCCAG